TCCTCAATGGATTTTCTGCAGTTAAATAAAGGTGGAACCAGCAGTGGGAAAATATGGGAGGCTTATGTATGCAAGACAATGACATCTGGACTCCCACAAAATTCAATTCATAAGGAAGCCAATTGCACAGTAAATGCCACATGTGGATGCACATAAAAGTCAGGCAGCCAGCTGTCCTTCTTTGAAGGTTTGACATGATCCACTGTGCTGAAAAAGCCTGAGCGTATGATGCTCCTCCATCACTAAACTTAACAATATATTTGACTCCCCAGTCATGGCATGTTTGCACTCATGACAGCTCTGTCAAGATCACGCTGAATTGAAAGAAAACAAGAGCAACGTCACCCAGCTTTTGTCCTTGTAGGTGCAACCAGTTTTATAGTACATGCAAATACAAAACCTGCAGTTGTCAGTGAGCTGGCAAATAAGAAACCAAACACCTTTGCATAACATCTGCTAATCCAGGTACAGAACACTGTGTGAGCCCTTTGTTTGTGAATCCGTTCAAGAAGGAAATGCAAAATCACAATTAAGCAACATGTTTGCTACTCTCACTGTTCTCTTCTCTTCATGTACTCTCTTTATCTCTGACAGCTCTCTGTCAGCAGTCTTATATTCTATCAGTGTTCCTCCCTTTTTCTCACCCTAGCTTCTCATTTGCTTTGATACCGTAAGGCTGCAGTGCAAAACCCATTTCTCCTGGGTGTACATATACGGTTGGCATATAGACTTTCAAGCATCACAAGTATGTAACGCTGTAATCAGGAATATTCTTCATTCCTAAAGCTTGGATTGTTACTTTAGAAAAGTAACTAATTATAATTACCATTCCAAGCTCCCCTCCAAAAAGTTTAGTTAGATCCAAAACACACTGCAGAAATAATCCAGCTTGAGACCGCTTTAACTGCCCTGGCTCAGTGCTAGGGAATCCTGGGAACTGTAGTTTATTGTAGCACCAGAACAATTAAAGCAGTCTTAATTTGGATTATTTCTGCAGTGTGTTTTGGACCTTAGTTACTGTAATAATTTAAAGGGTTTTTAAAAAGTAATGTTTTATTTCATTATTATTCAAAAGTCTTTCCCTCCTTGTCCTCAGTGTCATGCTTGTTTAAACTGTAAGCTCCCTGAGAAAAAATATTGTTTGCTTATCCCTTGAAACAGAGATGGGAATCATGCAGCTCTCCAGATGCCATTGTACAGTAGCTTTACCACTCACTATGCTAGCTAGGGCTCCTGGAAAATGTGGTCCAAAAGCATCTGGGGCCCATTCACACACAGAATTGTAGTGCTATTATTCCATTTTAACTACCATGGCTCCATCCTGTGGAATTCTGGGGCTTGTAGTTTGGTACTAGAGGACCTCTCTGACTGAGACTTCTAAAGGCCTCTCCCTAAACAACAATCCCAGGATTCCTTAGGACAGAACCATGGCTGTTAAAATGCAATCACAGTGATAGAAATGGGTAGAGTGCAAAGGCCCTGGAGACCCACACAATTCCAACCTGTTCTCTTAAAAATACCATAAATGCTGATGGCATTGTGATGGTGATAACTGTGGTGATGATGATGAAAATGATGACAACATATACCAACAGGATATTGGGATTTGGGGTTGTTTATTGTATTAATTCTTATAGTTTTATATGGGGGGAAGAATTGGGGGGGTTCGAGAGTAATTTAATTTAGAGTTATGTTTGAAGATTAGTGTAGGGTTATGATTTTTATATGTTATATGTGCAATTGTTTTTTCTTGTATGGGTTTGGTATGGGTTTTGTGTTTTAAAATTTAATAAAAAGATTTGGGGGGAAACGTGCATATGTAAAGATCAAAATGTCTTTTGGATTGTAGCAGATTGTACAATACGAATTGTATAAAGTGTATCCAAACAAAAGTGGAAACCTATCAGCACCATCATCAACATACAGTTCAGCAGGCCCCTTGGTATTCACTGGGGTTTAGTTCCAGGACCTGCCCGGGAGATAACAAAGTCCCATGGTCAAGTCCCATTATATACAGCAGAGTAATAAAATAGTACCAATATATAAAATGGCAAAATCAAGGTTTGCTTTTTGGAATTTATTTATTTACTGGTATTTATTTTGTGGAATATATTCAAGCTGTGGATGCAAAAACTGTAGATACGGAGGGATGACTGTAATATATTTATCCCAAACAGATTTGGGTAATACATTGATTGGACCATTAAAATGACATAGGGCCTTATCACACGGGGTCCCAAGCAGAAGATATCCAAAG